ATTATGTGGATAATTGGGTTATTAACAAATTTTAATGGGAGATTAATTAAAAATCTTTGGATAAAGTTAAGGCCCCTAACGTGGCAGCCAATGGAAGCTAAAGAAATGACTCTTGAATTATATAGCAACATGGCACACTTAGAAGACTAAGTGGATAAGTCATCAAATTAGTGGAGCCTACCAACTAACACTTTTAAAGAATTCATTTGAAACTCCAAGTCCTTGGATGCTAAACTTACGGATGGAACTCCAAAAATTTCATTTGAAACTCCAAGTCTTTTGATGATAAGCTTGTTTAAGTAAGGGATGGAATTCTCAAAAGGAATTCTTATAAACTCCTACAAGATGCAATGTGAATTACAAATTCTAAGGAAACACGGTATAATCTTTCTCAAGAATATCATACAGATTTTTTCGATCCCCCGTTACATATTTTGCCGCGTTTGACGTGTGTTGGAAGGATTGTCAAAAGAATTGGCTCAGTTATGTTAAGGCTAATCCTTCTTTCTTTTGGCATGATCCAAGTAACGATACGTAAACGTAATGTTATTCTATAAATGGTTCTACTCTTAGTAGTTAAGGATGTCCACATTATTCACTCCTATAGAGTGTAATTCAAAGCATGTCTAAGTATGTTCCTAAGTCTCTATTGAGCTATTTGATAAAGGTGTTAATGTTTATAATATAGTGATACATGCATTTTCATTCATTTACCACCGGGCTACGGCAATTCGGGCAGTTACCGCCGGTTGGGCAGTTATGTATCATTATTTACTACCGGTTGGGCAGTCATATATTTACCACCGTGCTACAGCCAGTTGGACAGTCATGCATATTCATTTACCATCGTGATACGACTAGTTGGGACATTTACATATTTACTATCATGCTACAGCCGGTCGGGCAGGCATGCATTTATTATTGGGCTATAGCCAGTCAGGCAGTTACCACCGGTTGGGGAATCATACATTTACCACCGTGCGACAGCCGGTCGGGCAGTTACCACTGATCAGTTGGGCAGTCAGGCATCATACGATATGGATAATAGAAATAGTCTCAAAGAGAAGCATTATATATATACACACACACGGTGGCACTTCAAAGATTCATGTTGATTCTTATATGTCTTTAATTAATGTTGGCTTATTGTTATGTTTTAGTTCCGCCTTACATACTCGGTATATTATTCGTACTGATGTCCTTTTGTTGGGGATGCTGCATCCATGCCTGTAGGTATAGACAATTAGTTTGACGAGCCCTCATAGTAGACGAGGGTAGCATTCAGTAAATGATCGGTAAGACTCCACCTCATTTAGAGTGCAACCATGTCTATGACTCATTGTGTCAGAGTTTTGCTACAAACTTATGGGTAGGTTGGTACCCTGTCCTATTTGATGTCAAATAATCGTAGATGCTTTGTAGACAGAGGTTCATTTTGTACAGTATGTCAGAGGCCTTGACGACCCATATGTATTCATGTTTTAAGAATGATGGTTCATTAATATAGTGTTTGCCCACTTATAGTTATACATTATGAGTTGTGACCATGTTAGCCCATGATAGTTACAAAAAGGAATAAGTTCAGCCAAATCGACCTATGTATATTCTAGTTTTCGTCGAATGATCATGAGTTACAAAGTGGTTTGCTCGGGCCAGCACGACACCAGGTGCCAGCCACATTTCCCCAGGTTTGGGGCGTGACAAAAATCATGTTTGACCTCAGACTGAGGTCTCCTCTTCTGCATGTACCCGAACTTGGTTCCTTCGATGTTGCGAGTATTGATACCGGAATCACTTAGTCGACTGTAAACATTTCCTTGCAGCTGGTTGTTCCCTGTAGATTGTTTTAATCCCTCATAGCATTGGGAATTTTAATACTTGGTGAAGAGTCGAGGGCACTGCCCTCATGTTGTGGATCCATAGCCTCCCGAACAGAGCGTTGTACCTCATGTCTCATTCGATCACATAAAACTTTGTTTCCTCGATGGTCCCAGCGGCATTCACTGTAAGGTTATCTCTCCCTTAGTGGTTTCACATGCCATATTGAATCCATTTAGAATTCAAACTGCAGGCACAAATTGATCTTGTAGGCTAAGCTGTTCTACGACCCTCAATCGGATGATGTTGGCCGAGCTACTTAGATCAATTAACACACGCTTAACTCGAGATTTATTTATGAGTACAGATATTACCAGTGCATCATTGTGGGGCTGCATAATCCTTTCCGAGTCCTCGTTGTTGAAAGACAAAGTTCCTTCTAGTATGTAATCTTAAATCCGTTTTTCCCTTGTGATGACTACTTTGGTGCGCTTTAACATCGGCCCTTGAGGAAATCGACCCCCCGATGATCATGTTAATGATGTGTTGAAGTTCTTCTTGTTCGGTCTGTTTATTAGAATCTCTATTTTTGAAATGATTCTTGGCTCGGTCGCTCATGAATTTTCGAAGATGCCCATTGTTGAATAACCGGGCCACTTCCTCCCTCAATTGTCGACAATTCTTTGTTATGTGGCCGTGCGTGCCATGATATTTGCACATCTGGTTAGGATTCCTTTGGGATGGGTCAGATTGTAGAGGTCGAGGCCATTTTGTGTCCTTGATGCGTCCGATAGCTGATACGATGGCAGCATCATCAACATTAAAGTATATTCTGATAACCTCGGTGCTTTTTTAGGCCCGATAGGCTTGTCGAAATCGTTCTTTCTCATGAGTCCCCGGCTGCTCTGACCTCGATCATTTCTCCTTTCATTTCGCATAGAATTTCGTTCGGACCCACTTCTTCTTCGATCTTCATTGGACGGCTGGTATCGATCCATGTTTGACCTCGGTTCAAGGTCGATATCTTTCTTGACTTTGTCAATGGCTTTAACGGGATAAACGGACCTACAAGGAGCCTCAAGTTGACCATCTTCGACTCTGATTTTTGATTAATATTGGTTATACTCATCAGCCCAAGAAACAACCGGACACTCTATCAAATTCTGCTTTAACTGATGTGAAGCCACCGAGCTTCGACCATTGAGTCCTTGGGTGAAAGCTTGAACAACCCAATCATAAGCGACTGGTGGCAGATCCATCTGTTCCATTTAAAGCCTGGATATAGACCCCCTGAGCATTTCATTACCCTTCCGTCTTACTTTGAAAAGGTCTAACTTCCTGGTTTCGACTTTGATAGCCTCGACATATGCTTTCACGAAAGAGTCTGCAAGCCTAGCAAATGAGTCAACAGAATTAGGAGGTAAGTTGTGATACCATATCATAGCTCCCTTTGACAGGGTTTCTTCGAATTTCTTCAACAAGACAAACTCGATCTCATCATCCTCCAAGTCGTTCCCTTTAATGGCACATGTGTAGGAAGTGACATGCTCGTTTGGGTCGGTCGTTCCATTGTACTTAGTCATCTCAGACATGCAAAATTTTTTAGGGAACGACTTTGGAGCCGCACTTGGAGGGGAAGATTTTTGTACGAACTTCTTGGAATCCATGCCTTTCAGTATCAGCGGTGCTCCCGGGATTTGGTCGACCCTGGAATTGTAGGTTTCTACCTTTTTGTCATTTGCTTCGATTTTCTTCTCCCCTGATTCTATCCGTTTTGTCAGCTCCTTGAGCATTTTTATGATCTCAGGGTTGGTCCCCGACTCATTTTCATTCGACCTCTCTACGACCGGTTCTTCCATGTGGGCGATTTCCCGGGATGGATCAGGTTCAATTCTGCTCAGTGTGCAGCTTTGGTTCTGTAACTAAGCTATCGCCGCCTGTTAAGCTTGTAACATTTCGAAGACCATCCGTGGTTGATCCCATATCCCCCATTGTTTTGAGTATTCTGCTCTGTCAATCGAGCTCCACCACGAATGCTATTCTTGTGGTCGGTAGGCAGGTTTGTATCGATAGCCACATGCGAGTTAGCGTCCAACGGGTCCGTGACTGGAATTCCGATAGGATCAACGGGCGATATCTCGTTACCGAGCGCTATGTTGTTACTTTCACCGTGGTGACTGGGCTCATTGTCAATAGGTAGGGTGCCAATTGTGAGTTTGACATTTTGAGCTTTAACCCAAAATTAGAGGCACTTCAAAGAACAAGTGTAAAGTAGTGTGTGTAATGGAAAATTTATATCAAATAACCACTATTATCCTTAGCCCCACGGGTGGCGCCAAACTTTTTGCCTCAAAATCGGATAACAATTGAATTTGTAAGTAGTTTTAAGGATACGTGGATTTAATTGACACAAAACGATAAATTGAATTGCAATTGAAATAAAGTAGGATAAAGTAAATTCAAACCATACGAATTGAAAAGTTGCAACCTTGTTGGATGAGCCACCCTTGAACAGAATGCACTTCGATCAATCACAAGACACAGTTGAATAAGAACTTAAAGAGAAAAATAACACTATGTTGCTTCTGAGTGCGTATAACAATGTGTTTTACAAGTAATTAGACCCCCTTTATATAGTAGGGGAGTCATACTTTAGGTACAATTCTATAAAAAGTAAAAATCTCTTGATTTACCGGTTCTTTAATGATACGTGCCGAGATTCCCGCCGTAATACTCGACCGGTCACGAATATTTCGGCCTTCTATTATTTCGGTCTTCTGTTGGTCACACTGACAATGTTTCCTCGAACTCGTTCGGGGTCGGGGTCGATTCCGGAATCATGGATCTAATATTTTCGAGGACGGACATTCTTACCTCGTGTTCTGGTTCGATGAGACTTGGGGTCGATCTCCAACCCCTCATGTTCCGAGCCCGATTTGCCGTGTAGTAGACGAGCTCGATTTCGACCGTATACAATGTTATTTTCAAGTCTATTATGTATAAAAATAAAGAGCTTTTGTAAAAAATACATAAAACTAAAAATAATTGTGCAAAGATCTATTCAGCAGTAAGTATGAACTTCATAACATATTTGTAATTATGTGTATGTTCCTAAAAGTCCATAGCAAATTTTATAACCATATAGGATCCAATAATTCACTGTTACGGCATCTCATCTCTTAATTTTTTGTTAAAATTTTTATTTTTATTTTAATTGTGCATCAAGAATATTTTGCACAGTTGCTCTTCCTTTGCCGCTTTGATGCATTAGGATTTATACCTATGCACCGGGAATGCGAAGCCAGGCAGGCGGGATACTTTTCTTTCGTACCCTCGCAGTGAGCAAAATCGCGGTGACTTATAACTACACGGCTTCAAATATTGGGAAGGTGGAAAACCCTAACAATTGAAGGTGGGTTATGACAGCCGAAGGTGTCGGGAGAATGTCGAAGAAGATGGTCACAAGGAGAGAGCTGTTGGACCGATGGAGGGGCATCGAAGAAGACGACGACATTGCATCTGTAGACCTTCTCAAGCGACATCGTTTCCGCCTGCTCAAAGAAGAATGGTTTGCTTCTTCATCATCTTCTTCTTTTTTTCTTGCTCCCAATTCTCGTTCCTCGTAACTTATACGTGTCCACATTTGCTAAACCTTTCACTATCGACCCAAAACTAGCGAAAGAGGGAGACCATGCCAAACTTCCATTTTAAAACAAAGAAAACAATTGTTTGTATACTTCCAATTTAATTAAGTCAGTTTTCCTTTTTGTATGCAGGTTTTCAGATGCATTCAACTACTTGATCTTTTTGCCGGAAGAAAATCATATTTGGTGTGGTTCCTGGGACCTAATGGGACCTCTTCTGGAGACTTTCTATAATTATTTTAAGGATGATCGCAGTGATTCTCCTCTAAAGCTCCTATTGGACAGAACATCTAGGGAAATGCGCCAGTGCACTCAATGTATATGTCAATACCATCAAGCCCAAGAGCTTTATAGTACAGAATACGACTCAAGTTCCATTGGTCCTCTTCTTGAGGTGCTGCGCACTCTTGATGAAGAAAGGATCAGTCAGCATCTTAAAGAGATTAATAGCAGAATAAGATGTGGAGAGTACGACATCGTGCATGACAGCGGAGAAATAGTTAGCGTCATGTTTGAGGTGTTTCCATTTACATTTCTCCTCTTCCTTTATATGAATCACCAATTCATCTTTTGGTTCATTTTCTGCATTAGATATACTGGCATGCTTCTGCAGGAGAAGGATTGTATTCAGTTGTTGCAGCATCCTTAATTTATTTCTAAGAAAAGAGCAAGTTTAGAATTTAGATTGCTCTCAAGCAGAGAAATGGCTGTAGAAAGCTGTTGCAGTAGCAGAGAATTGCGGAAAAATAAAAAAAAAGAAAGGAGAAAGAAGAAGAAGAGAGACACAAGGTAGAAGAAGCAGAGAAAGGGAGGGAAAGGATGGAGAGCTATCAGATACGAGTTTCAAATATATCTTCATTTTAGAACTGCTCAAAATCAATGATAAGTCATGAATATATGAAAGGAAATAACTAGGAGATCTAGTAAACTTCTTACTGCCAGACCAGCTGACACCTGCTAGCAAAAGTGCTGTGAAAGCTTTCCTTAATGGATAGTACTTAAATCTTAATAATAAAGCTACAACTGGGAAATCTAAAACCCTATGAAATAGCAAAAATCAGGAAATAATCAAGCAACTAAAGGATGACTAACAAGGTAATCAAACAACATGGACGTAGAATACCTAAAAACTTTAAGTCTTAAGTTTAAATTCTTGTCATTAGTCTAGTAGGGGATAATCTAAGTGGAGGGAAAAGGGGTTTCCATGAGATGGAAAATCAAAACTTGTTGTGTCCCATCACTTTATTGCCCCCACTTGGGTCAGAAGTCCATGCTACTACTCGACGGAAATGAAAACTATTTTCCCCATACAGGTTCTATATAAGTGGTTGTCTGGTAATGAGCAAGGAATATCTGTCTTTCTGCTAAATAAGACAGATTTGAACTGTCTGGCTATCCAACTTACACCATCTCTAGATGTGCGTTAGCTACTGTGTCAATAGTATGCAATATAACATTGCAAACGACATGGCCAGCACCGATGCACTCTAGTTACAATTTGTACTTTCCCGGATCCCGTGCATAGCGGGAGCTTAGTGCACCGGCTTCCCATTAAGGGCTGCATTGCGAGTGGAATGTTGGGTTGAATTGATAAGCCATGAAGGCTACGTACACATGAAAATCAAGCCTAATTCTGAACAATTTTATGAAACGTTGATTTTCTGCTTCTAGATGATGTAAATGATTACGAGTATCCTTTTTATCAGAAGAAAATAAGATTTAGTTTACTTGGCTGATTTGATCCTACTTTCCATCCATTCTTTTCTTCTTTTTTTCCCATTCTGTCTTGATTTGTGGTCATTGTTTCTCTGTGATTATATAGATCTCTCTTTTTTGAGTTGCAGGTTTTGATGTTCCCAATTTTGTTAGATGATTCTTATTTGGCAAGTGAATTTGAAACATTCATTGACGCAATCGACAAATCTCATGAACTGACCTTGGGTGGACACCAGCAGTATCCGGTTTGATCTGCCTTTCTATGACTTGATGTCTCTACTTCATGTCATGCTTCAGCTGTTTTTGTTATAGTCATCTTCATTTGATTTTGTCATTTTTATATTTTAGGGAGTTTATGCATTACTTTTCCATAAAGGCCGAAGAGCTCGTTCTATAGGTTTGCGGCTGGCTGGACGCATGAGTAAATTGAGGTATTGTTTCTATTGGACTTCGCGTGCAACTATATTCTGTGGTTTGTAACTCTAGCCAATTCTTGTATATGCTGTTGTCATTTTTGGTCGAGCGAACATGGTTTTGATAATAGAGAAGTATAAGGTTATTAAGTTTTCTGAATTTGATTTGAAATCACTTACTTTATCAAAAAAAAGTTCTATGAATTTGATAACAACAACAACAAACCCAGTGTAATTCCACAAGTGGGGTATGGGCCCTATGGGGAACGGTAGTGTGTACACATACCTTACTCTTACTTTGAGAAGGTAGGGAGGCTGGTTCCGGTAGACCCTCGGCTCAGGACAGATAAAAAGAAAGGAGTAACAACAAGCAACAACACCAACAAACCAGTCAGAAAACCGAAGCGAAAGAAATAATGAGATATAGAAATCTAAGAATATGAAATACAAGACTAACACTAAGTCGTACACTAATACTACTGGTATAAACAAGTAAATCGCTTGGCTACCTAACCTTCTACCCTAATTATGAATTTGATATTAATGTCTTATTATTAATGCTATGTAAGAGTACATTGTTCTAGGTTCTTTTAGCTTAAATTGCTAAGCCTGCGATGATTTGTGTCTTCAAATGTTTTTGCAGTTAAGACTAAACATTGTCTATCATTTAAATTGCTTTGCAATATTATTCCTTAGATGAAAGAAAATCTCATGCCTAAAGAAACTTAGATGTAGATATAAATATGTAGGACTCCTTGAGCGTCTAGAACTGTTAATATCACCTTAAAACTTATCTTGACTGCTCACTGTGTTCTGCCATAAATTATGCAAGGACTATTTCATTTCTTTTTTTTTGGAGATGCATATAGCAGGATAGGTGTCTTCTAAACCCATTTTCGGTGGGATTCATAATTTACAATAAAAAGAGGACCATTTAGACGCTTTACTTCTGGATATTTTAAAGGACAGCAAAGCTGGTAATTATGTGGGATATATTGCCTTAGCATATCACGAAACAGCATAGGCACCACTAATAATGGTAGTTTTGGGTTAGTTGGCTTTCCAGTTGAGAATACTAGAATTCTATTTGCAAAACCAATGTGGATGATTTATTGTTGAGAGACAATGGAACTAGAACGGAGGAGGGAACATGTCAGGACATACTCTGTTTTTTTGATAAGTAGGTATATATTATTCACAAAGCACAAAGGCGACAAGGGTACAAAAATGACTTGCCTGATTTAGGGCTGGGCATATATTGGGTAAGACCGATAACCCGAACCGTTAATTGTTTATTGGGTTATCGGTATCGGGTTATTGGGTTAACGGTTCGGTAACGGTTTAGAATTTTTCACTAGTGGATTATCGGTTCGGGCCTCGGGTTACCAATTTTGTTAATGGGTTAACCGATAATCCAATAAGAACTAATAAAATTATGACTTTACCCTTAAGTATATACATATGCTAGGGCTTCAGTTCATTTTCTCCTATTCTTTTTCAGCCGCACTCTTCAGCTGCTTCATTTTCATTCTTCATAGACCTTACTAGTTACTCCTAGCATAAATCTTTAGTCTTATACATTAGGCTTTTAATTTCTATAACAAAATTCATCTTCATATTGGTATTTTTGACGGTTAATGATTCTTTATTTTTTTATTTTCGTTTCTTAATTTTGTGAGCTCACGTTGTGTAGCCTATAACAACTACCAATTTCTCTTTGCACCTATCAATTCTCAATCGACAATCTTCATCAGTTTCGGGATATTTTGAACATTATTCTTTTGCAACTCCAGTGAATTGTCTTCTCTTTTCTGCTTAACTCTAGATTGAGTTATCTTATCGGGCAAACCGATAACCGAACCGATAATGATCGATAACCGATAACGGATATCTTATCGGTTCGATTATCGGTTTATCAAATTTGTAAACCAATAACCAATATGCTAAACCGATAATATTCATAACCGAACCAAACCGACCGATGCCCACCCCTAGCCTGATTAGCTCTGCCCTCGGACAAGACTGCAAGCTTGATAAATTCACTCAGCTGCAAATCCTTTAGGGAAAACTCATCTTAACAATATAGGGAAACTGCAATTAATATAATGTAGGAAACCTATAAATGATTTTTTCTTCTTCAATAGGCTGGCATGCCCATTGACTCCTAATTGAAAAACAAAAGAGAATTATAAGTGAGAGGCCACACGAGTGAGGATTGATCCATTGAGTGTTTCACGAGGAGGAGTTATGTGAAAAGGCTTGTTTCTCCAAGTCCTAGTGAAGTCATTAAAAAAAGTCCACCCTCCTTGAATGAACTCTTTAATAGAAATTCCATCCTCTTTGAATGAATTTTCCTCTCTAAATAAACCAAGCTGGTCCTCTTGGTTCTGCAGGTGGAGCTTGAGGAAGTGGTTGTTTCAGATCCCAAGTTCCTCACATGCAAAACCAGAGACCGAAGGAGAAGCTGCTCCGTGCCAATCTAAGAAGGATCAGCTTGTAAAATAGTCCATGTTCAAGAGATAACTAAGGTAGTTATTAAAAAAAGAAAAGAAAAAAAGAAGTGCAGTTAGCTCATTGTAGCCCGCTTATGCAAATTATGAAAATAACTAGGCTCTAATTTTCTGCCTTGATATCCATTATCAAAAAAAATTTCTGCATTGATATCACAGATTAGCATCCTGAAGTATTTATAGAATAGCCATTCTTTAGGAAAGACTTCCTCTATTTTGAGTTACTAGACCATTGGTAGAAACTAATATGTGCACACCTTATTGATGTTGTTTTTATTCTTGTCTTTCATTGCAGGCAATCAGCAGATTTGGATGCTTTGCAGCCTTTGCTGAAGAAGTACATTTCTTATTTGGCAGCAGACGTGTTGTCATTGTCTAGTCAGAATCCAAGGCCTAGGGTTGAGTTGGATCGAGTAACTGTATGGCTTGGGATCAAAGCATTGTAGGAAGTAGTTGGCTTCTGTTCCCGCGTGCATGAGCTATTGTATTCATCATTTTTATTTTTTCTTATTGTTATCTATCTGTGTCTTGAAGGCTTGGATTCTTGGAGCCTCCAGCATTTGAAGAAGGCATATTAGATCGTTATCCCATTTTTCTGAGTGTTGTTCTTAACCATATCAGTGATGATTCACCAGAATTTTCTTATGCAGTTAATTGTCTGAGATTATTGTTTGAGATGCTCGGTATGTTTTCCATATATACCATTTTAAGGTTCTGAATTTACTCATCAGCTAATACCTGATATATCTCCAATCACACTTTGTTAAGGATATAAGCTTTGGTTGAAGACTTCATTATCTCCAAGTGTGATGCGCAATACACTATTGGGTCAGTGTTTCCACACTCGAAATGAAAAAAGCCATAAGGAAATCTTTGATCTTTTCCAGCCTTTTCTACAGGCATGTTATTCACTCAGCTATGTGATTTAAGTGCTGTGTGGTAATCTTCTTTCTATTGATGCTATCTGTGGTCCTAGTTACCATTTTCCACTCTTATGTGTAAACCCCTGCAGTCTCTTGAAGCTTTACAAGATGGAGAACATGAAAAGCAACGAAGGAATCTTCTTTATTTTCTCCTGCATCAAGTTAGTGTGAGTAGTAACTTCAGCTTGCTCATGAGAAAAAAGGCTTGCCAGGTTATTATCTTGTCATCAACCTAAAGCGTGTTAAATTATTTGTCCTGTCTTATTTATCGCGAGATTCAATATATTGCAGATAGCTCTTCTCATAGTTCACCGAGGTTATACTATGAACCCGCCTTCTCCACCATATGAATGTGCACATATGTGGTATGTACCTAGAGGTTAATTATTTATATGATTGACTGGCTGTTATTTTTGTCCCTTGCATTGGCTACTTTACAGATGTTCTTCATACACAATGTTTAAAAGAGAGAAGCACAACAAATAGGCAAGGTTCATGGGGCTTGAAGCGTATGCTTTTTTGAAGTGAATCGCACAACTTACTAGAAATAGTAAATACCAAAATATATGACTTCAGTACTACAGTAACCAAATTGTATTTTTTGAGTAATTTCAGCATCTGATGTACAATGATACTGATATTATTTCATCTCTTCAAACTTGAAAAAAAAAAGATCCGACTGCTTTTCCTTGGGATCAATTTGTGTGTCAGTGTTTGAAGCAGACACTTTACTAAAGTGCATGGCTTCATCCATGAAGCAATAACCCCTTGTTTCACGTCACTTCATTGCTTTAGGCAACGAAGAGATGACTTTTACTAACCCCGAGCAAACATGGCCAAGAACTTGGTCTTTGCTTTCTGCTAGTTACTTTTCCCTTCACATTATTTCCTCCTTACTGACCTTTCAGAAGTAAAACCGGATTTTGTTCGATTCCCTCTTCATAAAAAAGTTTGCATTATGTTAAAGATGCATATGATAGTTGTTGTCCTATTCATTCTTGTCATTAATTGAAGAAAATTGTTAATTTAAAAATGAAGTTGAGCAAAGTCTATTTGACCTTGAAAGCAAAGCAAAAACATTGATTTTATAAAAGAGAGAGACGACCGGAGAGAAAACAACCTGTCTAGATGATTAAACTCATTATATTGTTGTTTCCTATATATGAGTTGTTAGCCTACTTTAATAAGGTAAGTTACCTGAATTAGAAGGATCCTATTACTTCAAAGTAATCTTTTTAAATTAACACACCATATTATAGAATACTCTACAAATTTTGTGCAATGAATTCTGGGCATATGCTTGATACTTCTTTTCAAGCTGGAGCATATAGGTCATATGTCCAATTATTTTTCTCCAGTATGGTAAACCCTGACGTGTCATGACAAGTCTAACATATAGCTTACGTGCTGTACACATGGCAATGACTGAGACAACGTTTGGCCCATGATTTCGTGCGCCAGTGAGCGGCAGTCACAGTGACAGCGAGTGAGGTTTTGTACAGCAGCGAAACTTAGTACTGTTTGGTTAGTGTATGTCTCATTGAGACAAAGCTCCTGGTATAAGCTGACTTGGAGACATGATAAGCCCAAACCTTTAAGCAGTTTATTAACCTCTTCCTAAACTTGCTAAAAAATCTTTTCCGTGACCACACATTTGTAACAAATTAGAGAACTTCCGGTGACTATATTGGTCTAGATGCGGATGTTATTTCTCTTGATTCTGATACTCTGTGGATGTGTGGATGTTTGATACTGCATTAAAATGCAAGATGAGAAGAGAGAAACTATTTGTCTTGAACATTGAACTCAATAGAAAGTGACCCTGTTGGAGTTATTCGCCTATTCTAAGATAAGTTACCTTATTTGCAGAATTCTATTAATATGAAATAGTCCCTCCTAATCACTAACAATATTTTAAATTGCATCTCGCTTGTGGTGGGAAGTTTTGGGTTGGTTTGGCCTTCAGTGGGTGATGCCACACACGGTTAAAGAAGCAATGTTTAGTTGGTCTTTCAGAAGGAGGAGGAGAAGATGCATTGGCATGGGAGGCCGCTCCACTTGCGGTTATGTGGATCATTTGGAGAAAGAGAAATAGGAGAGCTTTTGAAGGAATAGAGAAGAATTTTGTACATTTGAGGAGTAGCCTCTTTTCCCTTTATTATGTTTTGATGCACCCTTTCCGTCTTTCTGAGCCGAGGGTCTATCGGAAACAGCCTCTCTGCCCTATCGGGGTAGGGGTAAGGTCTGCGTACACATTACCCTCCCCAGACCCCACTTTGTGGGATTTTACTGGGTAGTTGTTGTTGTTGTTATGTTTTGATGCACCCTTTCCGTCTTTCTGAGCCGAGGGTCTATCGGAAACAGCCTCTCTGCCCTATCGGGGTAGGGGTAAGGTCTGCGTACACATTACCCTCCCCAGACCCCACTTTGTGGGATTTTACTGGGTAGTTGTTGTTGTTGTTATGTTTTGATGCACCCATGGGATTCCTTAAAGCATAGAAATTGGGGGTGTTTCGTAGAGAACCATATTTTTTTGTGAGATTTCTCCTTTTTTGGTATTTTTCTTGTATGCAGTTACTTATGCCCTTCAGTAATGTAATCTTATTACCTTATCAAAAATAAAATATAAAATAAAATATCTTTTTGATTCCGGGCAATGGATCTAGACATATTCTTGAAAGATAGCGTACTTGAGTATAGTGTTTTAATGAACCTCTCTTCTAGTTCATTGTATTACTTTGTTGGAATTCGCATCATTCGATATGCATATATTCTAAAGTGCTATCTCAAAGCAGCCATATATCCAAAATAATTGACGGAATGTTGGATTCCTGATACATAACTTTGCATTGTCCTACTTAATTTTGCAGGGGACCTTCTCTTGTGTCCTCTCTGAAGGATTCATCGCTTCACAGTTCTCTCCGTCAACCTGCATTTGATGTTGTTCAAATTATTATAGTTTCTGATGCTGCAGCTCTGGTAACTTCAATTCTGAAGTATGGACTTGCTTCAAGTGATGAAAGATGCTTGCCGTTCCAGCTTGATGAAGAAGATGGCCAAGAAAATTTGTTTGGTTGTGATTTTGAAGAAAATGATGACAGTTGTTGGAAGGAATTTAGTTCTCAAGCTGATATATCATCAGATGTATGTGGGGATTGGATGTGCATCCCAATGTTGTGGTTTGAGGTTTTAGTTGAAATTGATCCCTTGGTTCTTCCAGTATCATTTGCTAAGGCTGTTTTCTGGGCTTTGTCACGCCTTTCTTTACTAGAATCTGATAATGACGCTGATATGACACCTTCACTTGGTCATTGGTTGAGAACCTGTGCTTCAGATATCTCTCATGTTTTCAATTGGAAGGTTCCATCTGGTTCAAATGATGGTGGCGAGGGAGTGGAATCTAAGAACTCCATTAAGGTCTCAACAAAGTGTATACCTCTAATTAGGCTTTTCAAGAGGTTTGAGTTGATCCTATGACTAAATGCTGTTGATTATGAGGTTTTGCTAGTGATCGGAAGAATTTCGTTTTCATATAAACATTTTTTCTTGATTATTCTGGAGGTTATTACAGGTTGACTGCTCATTTCATCATTAGAATGGATCAAGGAGAGCTAAGGAAGCAGTGGACCTGGGAGCCCATGATGAGTGACAGTTTGATTCTTCTGCTCATGGATCCCAATGATGTAATATTTTCATTCAAAATGTTCCATTTTGAACAATTGAGTTAGTTTTCGTGTATTTACCTACCAACATTTGCCTCTAAATTGATGCTGTATCCTACTTATCTGGTTGATGCAGAATGCTAGACATGTTGGTCGGTGTATCCTTGAACAAGTTTCAAACACACGAGGCCTAACAAGTGGACTGCAGTTTCTTTGCTCTAGCCCATCTTCACTCTCAGCTACCTTTACAGGGTTAAGACATGGTCTTAAGCTGGTAAGATTTAATAATGAAGGGAATTGCTCTTTTTGAGTGTTAGCCAGCATTGGAATTTATAGCACCCTATCTCTATTTCTTTCGTGCAATTCCTGTACTGTCTTTGATTTCCTTTTCTTCTGGCTTGCATGTTTTCTAAAACTGCCATTGTTTTCCAGTTATATTTGTCTGGCATAATTCTGCTTGTCTCTTTTCCAGGTTCAGTTGGACTGTGTTCTATCAGAATTTCAGACTTTACATCATTTCTTTTTTGTATTGTGCAAACTACTGAAAGAAGGGAATTCATGTACCCAGCCTCTAGTGAGAAAATCATCCGAGGACTCTAGTATCTCAAAATTTTCTTCCCAGGGTGGATTCTTAAAGCAGCCAGTGCTTCAAACTCAAACTGAACACATGGATGCACATAAATCAGTTGTCAGTTTCATTGTATGGGAAAAATTTTGTTGCCTACTCTCAGAAATGGCTTGGATCTCTGTTCAGAAGTGCTTGGCAGCTGGGAAGGTGTTTATAGGTCAAAAACCATCTCAGGTATGGATCTTAGCGTGTTTATCTACTATCTCGTGACATTTCTTTCTTTCCTGGATACGTATATTGTCTACGGCTGTATGATTTCAGGAATTGTATGTTACCTTCTTGTTGTGCAGAATAGGTCGAGAGTGCCTCTGTGGTTTGAAAACCATGATACTAATAATAAAATAGGAGGCTTCCAATAAAAAACGAAAATCATCCCCATCTACCTGTCAAATGCTTCTTGAGTTCCTCTTGCCTCCAAAAACCTCATGAAAGATTAAATACCACCAATTCCCATGTATAAAGTACTATATGATAAAATATTCATCACATTATCTTGTTAATTGCAGTTTGTATCAAAATATTTATCTAGTATAAGAGTGCGTTGTTTTTAGTTACTTTTCCTTATATAAGAAAAGCCAAAAAGTCCAAATATACACTTGAACTTTGTGAAATTAGTACCATATGCCCTCTGTTAATAGCTTGCTTAAAAACAATGTTGCCCTTAATGGACTGTGTCACATATGCCCTTATTATTTAACAGAACTCATTTTATCCATAATGGAGCCATTTCGATGGCACGTTGACTTCCCCTTCGTTCCCCATTTCTCCCATCTTTCTTTTTTTGATAAGGAAAAAAAAAGAAAGATGGGAGAAATGGGGAAAGAAGGGGAAGTCAACGACCTTTCTCCCGTTCTCATAGTCCTTCGATGGAAAAACATGAAATAAAGATAACATTTTGAAATTATCCAAATTTCAGTTTTTCAGTACTGATTCAATGCTTTGTGGTCAAAGAAGATTAAATTCAAGACTGACATCAATGAATAAACTCTCGAAAGGATAGAAAACCCACAACGACTCAGTAATTCTTCTTAATGAATATTTTGAAAAAGACCATTAATTGTTTATATAGCCAAAAGGTTTTCAGAAACTAATCCTAACAAATTATTCAAACTCTCAAGCATATACAACTCTATGTAAAAATGAAAGAGAAAGGCCCCATATCCTAAAAATAATCATCCTAATGGATTGAAGATTTTCACCTTCTTCAAAACCCTACATCTGTTGTCTGTCCAAATTCTGACATAATCATATATGATTTGGAATTCTAATTTTCTCATCCCTATCAAAGTAAAGAGCCCCAGAAATAAGCATGGAAAACTAAGTCTAGTATGTAAATGGTGAAGAATAGAGGGGCGAGCCCATTAGCCCCGAGTCTTGGAGGTTGCAGTTGGCCCTAAGGGTTGGGCCCAGACGGATTTTTGGTCATAAAATTAATGAAAATAAAAAAGCCCCAGAAATATCTGCGGCTGCAAACAACGAAAGCTTATATGTGATTCATATTAGAGTTTTAAATAGAAGGTTTAGTTATTTATATGATTTCTAAAAACGCAACATAAGAACAATGACCTACATGTTGAGATGGTTGAAGAGCTGATACATGAATTGGAGTTGGACTCCATCGAAACACCTCTGATTCCTATCCTTCCAAATGCTCCAATAGCAGAAAATGGCACCATTTTCCAGGTATTTCTGTACTTCCCAACTTTCCACCTTTCCTAGCTAACAAATGCTTCTTTCATACAATCTAGTAATACCCAATGTACTCGAAAATGCACAAATATATGTTCCCAAACCTTCAATGTTAGACATTGAAAAAACGAATGATCTATATTGTCTTTTTTCAATAAGGTAAATGATTTTATTAATAATTGGGGAGAACCCCGTGTACAAGCCATATACCAAAAAAAGAGAACCCACACCAGGATGGTCTCAACAACAAAGGCCCATCCTCTGTACAAATAGGAACCTCATAAAGGACAGCCAGGTGCACTAAGCTCCCGCTATGCGCGAGGTCGGGGTAAGGGCCGGCCACAAGGGTCTGGTGTACGCAATCTTATCCTGCATTTCTGCAAGAGACTGTTTCCACGGCTTGAACCCGTGACCTCCTGGTCACATGGGAACAACTTTACCAGTTACAAATAGGAACCTCATGAGTACACCAAAAAAAAACTAAAAACAAAAGACTACATTCCACCCCTTCAAATGCCCTTCTATTTTCTCCTTTCCAAATAACCCACATAATTGCCTAGGGGGCAACACTCTATGCCCTTGGACTTCTCTTCTCCTTCATACGAGCCCAACTATACAACTCCTCCTTCACTGTGTCCGGCATCACCCATTGCTCCTCAAACAAATTAAGGACCACTCTCCACAAACAACTTACCACTTGACAATGCAATATGAGATGATCTACATCTTCACCCGGCTTTTGCACCTGAAGTACCAACTAACATAGGTGATCCTCCTCTTCTCAAATTTTTCGCTGTTAAAATCACTCCCCTCACTACCAATCAAGCAAAGAAACACACCTTTATTGGTGCTCTAGCAATCCAAATAGAGCAATGAGAAAAAGTATGTTCATCTCTTCCTAATATCAACAACAACAACAACCCAGTATAATCCCACAAGTGGGGTCTGGGGAGGGTAATATGTATGCAGACCTTACCTCTACCCCGAGGGGCAGAGAGGCTGTTTCCAGGAGACCCTCGGCTCAAGAAAGCAACAAGAGACACTATATTAGTACTATCAATAGACTCATAATAAAATAACATAAAATCTATAACATAACATAAAATACCATAAAATAACAAAATAACAGCAATATAAGCAATATAGGAAATACGAGAAAGATGTAAAGTATACTAATAACCAACAGATAAAGCCCATCATCAATAGCTGATCAGTAGCATCCTAAGACTAACTTCTAACTGGCTAGTCTCACTCTAGTGCGCTGTAGAAATATTCACAATTTTCCCCTAACCTACAACCTTAATACTCGACCTCCACAATTCCCTGTTAAGGGCCATGTCCTCAGTAACCCTAAGTTGCGCCATGTCCTGCCTGATCACCTCTCCCCAATACTTCTTAGGTCTCCCGCTACCTCTCCTCGTACCCACCATAGCCAGTCGCTCACACCTCCTCACCGGTGCATCAGTGTTCTNGACTTGAGAATCAAGCCTCACTTCCACTCCCGCTTCCGTCGGCTCGGCCCCAAATTTGCACTCGGGGTATTCCATTTTCGTCTTGCTCAACCTGAAACCTTTTGACTCAAGGGCATGTCTCCAAACCTCTAGCCTCTCGCTGACGCCGCGTCGTGTCTCGTCAATTAGGACTATGTCATCAGTAAATAACATGCACCATGGCACCTCCCCTTGAATATGATGCGTTATGACATCCATCACCAGGGCAAATAGGAAAGGGCTGAACGCATACCCTTGGTGCAACCCCATAACAACCGGAAAATGCTCGGAGTCGCCTCCTGTTGTCCTAACCCGAGTCTTAGCTCCATCATACATGTCCTTAATCACCCTAATGTAGGCAACCGAGACCTCTTTAGCCTCTAAGCATCTCCATAAGACCTCCCTAAGAATCCTGTCGTACGTTTTCTCTAGATCGATAAACACCATGTGGAGATCCTTCTTCTTATCCCTGTATTGTTCCACCATCCTCCTAATAAGGTGGATAGCTTCTGTGGTAGATCACCCCGGCATGAACCCGAACTGGTTGTCTGAAATAGACACCGTCCTTCGCACTCTCATTTCTACCACTCTCTCCCA